ACACAGTCCCATCACCAACAACCTGGCCCGGGAGCGTTGTCACCACCTCGTGCAGCCGGGATCTCTCACTTTGGTCCTTGAGCCCCAAACCTGCAAGCGGAGGAGAGGCGGCCTCTTCAGTCGGGCTTGGTTCTGGGGCCAGAGCTGAGGGGAGGCCAAAGCAGGGCTGGGGGAAAGTGCCTTGGCGCTCAGGTTCCCACAGCCCTGAGCTCCTGCAGACCCCAGCCTTAGCTTCCTGCTCTGTAAAATGGGGACAGGATAAAATGACCACAGAGAAACCATTCAGAGTAAGCGGCAAGGGGTTGGGCTTGGCTTATTTAGCAGTGACACTAATTATACGTCTACCCAAACTATGCCTCCTTCCCACACTGGGATCCAACGTTCCACTTCAAACCCTGGCTGTTCAAACTTCAAAGCTGAATCGATTTGAGGAGTCGCTAAATTACCCAAACTCTCACCATTCATGATCAGACACTGAGGAACCACACGGGCTCAGCTGACATGGTCTCTCTCATTATACAAGCTCTTGTCCTCTAAACTCAAAAACACACAAGGATGGATCGGGAGGGATCCCACCCATCCCACTGGGTTGTGCGGATTAAATGAGATAATCCCCGAACAGTGCTTAGGAAGGCCCTGGCTTGGAGAGGGACCCTGGAGTGTGGCCTCTAGTGAGCAGGGCCCATGAACACATGGCAGGTGTGTGTCAGTGCATCTTCAAGGGGCTGGCTGAGGGGGCCTCACAAGCACTGTTTGCACTAAGTCCCAGCTCTGGCCCTTCAGTGTCCTTTGACCTCTCTGAGTCTCGGGTCCCTCATCTATAAACGTGCACACATTTCTATGCACCAGGTTGTGAGAATCACATGAGAAGATGCCTGTACTAGAGCTGAGCACGGCACTGCCATGTGGCACGCACTCCTCGTATATTAATACATGATCACAGGCAGGGAGAAGTGAACGCCAGCACAAAGGAAGCCTCTAGGGGCTCTCAAAGAGAGGCAGAGAAAGCCCTCTTTGGAGCCAGCTAAGGAAGAAGCAGGAAGGAAGACAGGTTTCCAGCAGGATGTGCCTGGGCCCACCCTCTGCTGCTGGGACTCCAAGGAGGCAACAGCCTCCAGCTCAGATGAGCCATGGACCCCTAGGATCCTGGCTGTGCCCACTGCTTACCCAGGGCAAGGTTCCGGGAGTTCTCCCTTTTTATGTCCCAGAAGAGATCCCTCTGAGCAGGGTCCAGGGACCCCCATTCTTCCCGGGAGAAATAGAAGGGAATGTCTCCAAATGTCACAGGTCCCTGGAATGAGGTGAGAAAACTCAGCTCAGGGCTGCCTTGCTCAGGACTCCCCGGGCGGTCATGGGTGGAGACAGGAAGGGGGCTGGGATGGGAAATGGGATGCGTCTGGGCAGGATGATGGATAGAAGCAGCTTTAGTGAGAAGGCAAGACCCATTTTAGGGACTCATCAGCATCCGACGGACAAAGGGACTGGTGACTCACCCCAGAGGCAAAGCAGGTATCTGCTGTCTCTCTGGCATTCCCCTTTTTAAGAGCAGGTAGTTGGGCTGAAAAAAAAGAATGGAGCCTCAGAGAGGCAGGCCCAGGCCAGGAGTGAGATCTCACACACACTCTGCTTCACACACACATGCACACTTCGCCTCCATGGAGCAGAAATACCCTGCTACCCTTAGTGCAATGCCTGGAAAGGAGCCAGGCCCCTGACCAGCTACTCTGCGACCTACAAGCTTACTCACCACCATGGCTGTGCTGCTCCCAGGGTCCAGGTGGCTGGCTCCGTGCCCCTACCTTCCGGGGAGGTCCCTTGGCCTGGGATCCCTGGACTGTAGCCACAGGTTCCGCCTCCTCTGAGGGCACGTCCTGTGCAGGAACCACAACATGCTCATCAGCACCGAGACCAGACGGGGGAGACAGAGTTTAATCCCTGGGAAGGAGACACAGGACACGTCCCTCAGGATGTTGGGGTGTGGGGGAGATCAATATGGGGCCCAAGGAAAGTCCAGAGAAGATGGGACACCAGGCGATGCTATGTGCCCAGGGACACTCCCCAACCAAGCATGAGCAAGCTCCAGCCCCCAAAGCTCAGAATCAAAGAGCCACTTAGCGAGGGGCAGTGGGTGGAGACCTTCCTGTCAAGGGCATAATCCTATACTCACCCGCCACTCATTAGCATCTCCCCAGATGCCTCCAGTGTCGAGGACCCCACACCCCATAAGACAGCAGGGTTCACAGGGACAGCTCTACCTTCTGATACCCCCTCTGGTGCACTCACTACACACATCACTGTATCCCCAGGGTCTGGCCTAGAGCAGAACACAAATGAAACTTTGTAGAACCTGGGTGGAGCTAAAACCTGCCTTCCTGGAACATGCCCACTTTGGTCCTGCTGCTTCCCTCCAAAGCCACCAAAAAGAAACCAGATTCACTTGGATAGTGTCTTTCAGAAAAGCAACACGTTAGGACCTGCTCCTGTGGATGCTCCCTCTGGCTCTGCATATCCCCCCAACCCCTGGAGGACTAATCTCTACAGAGATGGCCACCTCTCCTCAGTCCAGGTGCCATCCAGGTGCCCCTGGATGTGGAAGGGGCCCCTCACCTGTGGCCAAGCTTCTGGCTGTTTTTGCAGGTCCTCCACCAAGGCAACAGCTTCCTCGCCACTCCCAGGGCAGCGTTCGCAAACCCAGCTCTGGACGCCCACAGGCAGCACGTTCAGGAACTGCTCCAGCACCAGCAACTCCAGGATCTGCTCCTTGGTGTGCAGCTCGGGCCGCAGCCAGCGGCAGCAGAGCTCCCAGAGCTGGCTGAAGGCTTCATGGGGCCCGCCTGCATCGCCGTAGCAGAACTGCCGGAAGCGCTGGCGGCAGGCCTCTGAATCCCTGCTGTCCTCTTGCTGGGCTGAGTCCTGCTCCCAGGAGGAATCTTCTACCTTCACGATCAGAAGCCCTTCTCCCTCCCCAGGGGCCTGGTCCTGAGGCTCTGGGGGGGCTGCCATTCCCCTGGCCTAAGGCTCAGGGCTAGTCAGCCTCAATCTGGGCCTGAAAGCCTGCCCTTCAGTCTCCCAGAGGGATTCCCAGTGGCAGCTGGGTTGGCATCTGGACACACATTCCTGGAGAAAGAACAAAATAGCAGGAAAGGGGGCAGTACATGAGCAAAAACCAGCCTGGAGGGACATCCAGGGGCTCCAGCTCCCATTCTTTGTGACCCGGGAGTCTTTTTCAGGCTCTCCTGTAATGCCTTGTTCACATGACTCTCCTACCAATACAGGTCCACAGCCCCTTATCCTCAGCTCCAAAATCCAAAACTCTCAGGTTTTCACCACCTGGCCTACTGATATGAAATGAAAGCATTAATAATCTCCATTTACCTCACAATGTAAATGTTCATGTTTTATGGCAGAAATATTAATGTATTTATTCAGTCTGTAAAAATTCATCAAGCTGTACTTCTGACGTATATTTTTGTGTGTATGTTACAATTCAATTTTTAAAAAGCTTAATGTATCTGATTGACTGTTGCCTCAGATTCTGGCGGTGCTATTTGATATACAATATATGTACTGTACTATTGTTCTCAAATTTGAAAACTTCATAATTCCAAAAGACATTTGGCCCCTAGTGTGTCTGCAAAGGGCCCAAAGACACCATCCTGAGCCATTTATCCACATGAACATGACACACAGTTATATCTTATTGCTACTCTTTACAACAGTCCTGAAAGGCATGTACTTTGAAGTTTTCTTTAATTGCTTTTTGTTTCAACAAAAAAAGTGATACAAACCATTGAAATAAAGCGGGGAGACTTAAATATACATAGAAGAGAAACTCTCCCTTCCACATTGCAGCTGCACCCCCATTAACAGCCTGACATATGACCTTCCAAACCTTTCTCTGTGCATCTACTGGAAATGTATCCATAGAAACGGAGAGGGAAAATAAGTGCTTTGTGTGTGTTTTTACACAAACGAAGTCTTACTGCACACACAGTCTTGTAATTTGCTTTTCTACCTAATAATGCTTCTTCATTTACCAGTCTAGGAGATTCCGTGGCAAAGATGTACTCGTTTCTTATTGAACACCCGAGTGAGGCATTCAGGTTGTTTCCAATTCTTTACTACACGCTAAGCACTTTATTTACTTCATTCTTCTACTCCTCATAACACCCCTGAAAGGTACGCGCTCCATTCTCCTTCTCCAGTGACCGAGGAGGAGGCTCCGCTCGCAGAGAGCCAGGGACTCACCAGGGTCGCTCTGCAGGCAGGCGGGAAGGCGGGCCGGGCCAGAGCCCCGCGCTGGGTCCCAGCCGCCTTGCCTCCGCGGAGATGAGAGGAGGAGGGTTGGACAGCGGGTTCGGCGCCCCGGGCTTCCCCCGGCACTTCCCAGTGGTGCGCACCCTCTACGATCTTTGCCTCCGGGCGCCGATCCTGGTAGCCCGGAGCCCCGCTCTCGACCTCTGAGCTCCGCGGCCCGCGTCGCCGGTCCCGCCCCCAGGACACACACCTCCCACAGTCTCCCAGGCGTTCCCAGTTCCGCCGCCAAGTCCCAGACCGGAAGTTCGTGTGGGCTCGAGGGGGAACGACACTGCGCATGCGTCAAGGCAAGCACTACGAACTACACCGCCCAGGAGGCTGTTCGTCAATCAAACTTGCCTCCTCCTTGATGGACGACCAATGAACGAGGAGAATGCCCAAGGGTGGCCAATCAGAAGGCAGCGACGCCATGCGCATCAGCACCTATGCCCCCAGCTGGGATGTGCGACAATACCCTCGCGGTCCTCCTCCCTCTCCGTTTATCGTTCAGTTTTCTGTGCTGCTTTGACCTGTAAGGGGTGAAAAGAGGAGGCCAAGGCTGGCCTGGTGGGCAGAGACGTCGCCTGGCCCAGCTACGAATGGAGCGCCCGCTCCGCCGGAATGGATGCTCTAGCGCGGACGCTGCCTTCCGCCCCTGACTCCGCTCCAGCGTGGGTGGAGGGCTGGAGGCGCCGTGGGCCAGGAGCTGGAGCTCGGCCCTGAGAGACTCATTTATAGCTTTTTGGGTCCCGCCCCCGCCCAAGTCTTTAGCCGCTCCTCTCGGGCCTTGGAAGCTTCCTGGGAAATGCAGTCCAGTGAAGGGCACGGAACTTCCTGCGGTGATTCTTTGCTCCCGAAGGTCGGCCAGGGTCTGTAAGCAGGACGCGGCAGTTGGGGTCTCTGACCCCCGAGGAGTCCCGCGCTCTCCCACCAGCATGTTGGACTGAAGGATGGCGGGGGTCTCCGGGCTGGGGAGAATCTAAAGCAGGCAGGCCGCGTCGGGGAAGCTCTGGGTTCTCCTTTCCATGCGTTTGGACCTGCTCCCACCCTTAACTCCTCTTGGAAATCTTAGGCTCCAAATCTTTTTCTGAAATAGAACCATTTCTTGTGGTGGTGGTGGTTGTTTGATTATGCAAGTATTGCGTCCTTAGTGTAGGAAAGAAACTTAAGAAAGTATGGAAATTATAATAAAAGTACCCATATCCACAAGGCTAGCTTCCTCACTCTGCTCACATGGCACTCCCTCAAAGCAGTTTTTCTCTAACCCTATGTAAACAGCACCTCCGTACCCCCCCACCCCTGGCCATACCTCTGCCCTGCCTTATTTTTCCCCCTAACTTTTATCACTACCTGACGTATTTGTATGATATCCCCCCCCACTACTCGACTATAATTTCCATGAGGATGTTTTCACTGCGCTACTTCTAGCACCTAAAATAGTGTGCCTGGCACATTATTTGTTAAGTAACTTAAGGTAAAAATAACTGAAAGTTTAAAATATCTCTAATAAGGCTATTCAGAAATAAGCACTAATATTTTAGTCTGTTCTTACAGTTCTACATCTATGAATATTTCCAATATAAATCTGGAATCATTCTATATAAGGTTTTGTTGGCTCAAAAAGATATATTTCTAAGTCAGCATTTATAAATAAAATCATCCGTTTTGCAAGTTCCACAGTATTCCATACCATGAAATTTCCATAGTCCATTTAAACTCCCTTACTCTTGGACATTTGGACTGTTTCCCTATTTCTGTATTTGGGGATGCTTACTACATACACTTTATTGCATTTTCTTGAACAACTTGCTGGAGGGGATGAGCCAAGACTGTTCTATGAAGATGCTACTAGGCTCTCTCTCCTCCCCCTACTGGCCCCAGTGGAAAACCGAGCAAGAAAGGAACTTGAAAAATCCTTTTCCACTGTGGCCTTACAGTGTTCTTCCAATGCCCTCTACCGACAAAGACTAACATCAAGTTGGCTTGCAAAGGGGAAACTTCTACAGATCCGGCTCCATTATCACAAAGCAGGACAAAAAGGATGTATTGGGGGCTGAGAGACAATTCATAACTAGGACACCTACTGTATATATTATTGGGGATTGCTTGTAGATGATAAATTATTTGTATATAATTATATTGAAATTGACCACCTTATTGCACTTTCTTTTCCTCCTGATAGTGTTTATTTTGTAGCTAGAAAATACACTCTATAATGAAAAAAAAATTCCAGAAAATTTTTATTCATTTCCAGAATTTACACTCATTATTTTCTTAGCCTTTTTCATTGTACAGAACTCTCTAAACAATGTTAAGATTTTTAAAAATGATTTATGATTAACTGTCTATTGAGCCCAACTTGTTCTGATCAGCGCCCTGTTGGATTGTATTCATCTTCAGGGCTACCCTGGAGCTTTGTTAGTTGAGAACAGAAAAACTGGTGTTTGCTCTAGGTCACTGAGGCATAGGCCAGAGTGCTGCCTTTGCAACCCAGGCAGAAAGCCTGTCTGATCACAGGATGGCCAAAGAGCATGCACATGAGGAAGGCTGAACCATCCTCATAACCTCCTGTTCTTCACCCTCCATGGGACACTAGGGAGAAACATCAGGCCACAGCCTCTCATAAGTCTCACCTCTCCAGCCTTCTCTCCTGCCTATCCCCCCACCCCCGCCCCCGCCCCAAACAGTGTCATTTCACTTCCTGGAACACCAACCTCTTCCTCATGGCTGGGCTTTTATTCATTCTGTTCCCCTTGCCTAGAAGGTTCTGCCCTGAAATCCTTGTAAAAGGGCTTTTTGTTATTCTTCAAGTCTCAGTTTAAACATCCCCTCCTTGGAGGGGCCTTCTCTGACAACCAGTTCCTAACAGCCTCTATTGCTTCACCCCACTTGTTTCTTTCTGGCATCTGTTACTACTTGAAATTGATGTATGTGTCATTTATGTACTTAGCCTCCCTCAGTAGAGCAGAACCCTGTGAGGGCATGGTTCTTGTCTCAGTTTTTCATCGCTTATTCGTTAATATTTAGTAAAGGACCTGGAACTCGGGCATTCGTTTCGTATTTGAAAAATGAATGAGTGAATGCAGCAAAGCCCTTATTTAACGTTTCCCCGCCCTTTGCTACCACCCCCGCACCACCCAGAACCACGCGCCCCCCACCCCCTCGCTGACTGCCTCAGCTTTCCTGGCTCTCAGCAAAAGCACCAAGGTCTTCTAGGTCGTTTCCGCACCGGCGTCCTCTTCCAGGCGGCACTGTTAGGCCCTGCTCTAGGCCTCACAAGGTGCCAGAGCGCCGGCAGGCGGTGTCCAAGCTCCCCCGGCGCCGCAGACATGCCGGCCACTGTCACCGCCTGATGTGGCCGCGGGGCTCGGGCTCCCCAGATCTCTGGGCAGCAACAAGACTCAGCTCCGCTCGCGAAGCCAGAAGTGGCTCTGGCCCGGGCCCCCGCCCTCTGGCCGCTCCCTCCCTAGGACCGCAGGAGGGTCGGCATCTCGGTGGTGGGCCCGGCGTGGACTCCGAATTCTCGGCGGTTGGCGATAAAGCCAGGAATCCAGCTGGGGTAGTTGGTTCCTTTCGCAACGCACACTGGGCGGAGGGAAAAAGCCAGTTTCAAGCTCAGAGCTTCGAAAAGTTGCCAGGCAACCGTGCGGGTTTGGGGCGTGGAGGGAAAAAAAGGGGTTCTTCGGCAAAAAACGTCAGCCGTAATTGGCCAGTTTTGCTAGAGCCCACCCCCACCCACCCCGGCACTTGATTGGCAAGGCGCAGAGTGGAAGGGACTGGACCTTCTGGAACCCATCTTCCCGACTAAGAGGCGAACCCGCCGACAGATCCTGGTGGGTCTCCAGACCTCACCACCCGCGGGTCACACGAGCTCAGGAAGGACTTCCCAGCCTAGCGCTGTGCTGAGACTTACGACCCGGCCTGTCCCGGGGAAGGTTGCGCACCTTCAGTAAGGTCCTGGGCTGGCGCCGCAGAGAGAGGGTAGGAAGCCCCGAGGAAATATCGCCCCAAACCCCAACCCCGCCGGCCTTTCCCTAGTCCTATTCCATGAGGCCCAGGTGTGCAGGTTAACCGTGGCAATCAGTTCTCCTGTGCCAAGAAGCTGTCAGATGTAAGCAGAAGCCAGGAGGAAGCAGGCCACCTCTAAGCCTCCTCACCAGCTCCCCAGGGCCACCAAAACCTTTCTCTAGAGTCCTGCCCACCCCTAGCCCAGCTCAGTGATGTTCCATCACCCCACCAAATCATGAACACCATCCAGCCTGCCAGTCTAGGTTCTTCCACGATGCTCCAGCTACCTCCTCAGTCTTAACTGTTTTTGTCAAATATTTCCCAAACTGCCAAGTGCCACTCTTAAAACTCTCTAGCCAGGTCTATCTCAGAATGGTGGCCTCTGGATGGATCTCTAGGGAGAAGAGGACAGAGACTCATGGCACCCTTGGAATCAGGCTCCTCTGCACTGTGCTATGGAAAGGGGGACACAGTTTCTCCTGGATGTTGTGGTCTCTCAGCTCCTCAGAGGCCAGAGCAAAGACTTTAAATGGCTCCCTGGCTCACTCGACAGACCTCCAAGCAGTTCGAGTTCTAACACAAGGGCCACGTGGCCCAAGGAACTGAAATCAAGGCAGGTGAATACCCACTGTGCTAATGAGTACTCTGCGCTCCACTCAGCCAAGTGATAACAGTTCCTAGTTGGTTTTAACAAGCCTTTCTCACTCTGTCTCTGCATCAGAAGACAAGCTCCTGGAAGCAGTGAGCCTGCTTTATGTGAACAAGACCCCCTCAGGCCCTCACACTGAACCAAGTAGAGAAACCCCATTTCTGGATGAGTGACCCTTGCCATGAAGACAAGCTGGAGGGAAGAAACTGCTTTTTTTCTCACCTCTTCAAGAAAGAGCCAACTAGTTCAACCACTCCTGCCAGCAGCCCAGCCCTAGACATTACCGAGTCCTGCCTGGGCCCCCACTAGTCAGCAGCTTCCTGGCGACCAGCTGATTACATCACTCCTCAATCTCCAGCTGAGCCCAATGCCCCTGAAGGTCAACTCTACTGTTCACCTTACTCTTTATAGACAGCCCTGCTTCATAATGTCATGCACTAATTAGACAGTCAATAGCTGTTGAGGTGCATGGAAACAGAGGTATTCTTTACAGGATAAAAGTCCCGGACCTGAATCCTAGCTTCCAGCTGTCTGGTTGAATGACTTTGGGCAAGTTATTGGACTTCTCAACTTGCTTCCTCATGCATAAAACAGATAAAACCCACTGCTCAGAGGTGCAGAGTTAAGGTGACGTATATATATATGGTTCTTGGCCCCATGCCTGGCAGGGCAGCTGCTCCATGACTGGCAGCTGTTATTACTGTCTCAGTCCTGCTCAAGCCATTTCATCCCTTAGGGGCTGGGAGCCAACCAGGACTGCGAACGCCCTGCAGGCCCTGTGATCCGCAGAGACAGGTGGGGTCCTAGCAGCCTCCCCGATGCAGACATCCTCATAGCCAGCTGGCATCAGAACTGAATGTAATCTTAAGAGCTGACCAGCAAATCTAGAATAATAAGCAGGCTGAGCCCACCCCTCCCCAAGAAACATGAGAGAATGGGAAGCTACAGAGGTAAAAATACAGAAAGCCAGGAGTGAGACAGATAGGCAGGGGTGGGTAGGGCAAATTTAAAGGACAGAGGCCAAGAAGATGAAAAGTAGCAGAGGGAGCTGGCAGCGGCCTGAGAAAGGACCAGGAGGGGCCGTGGTTCCGAGTAAGTGAGAAGGCCTTGCTGGCTTACAGCTGAGCCCCAGTGGACGCAGATGAAAATGACCAGTCACAAAATGCAGGCCCTGGTGCCTGAGACAGGAGACAGGGTAGGCAGGAGACACTCAACATGAATTCTCATGCTGGCTCTGCCCTGCTTCTGGCTCCCAAAGAGAAGAGCCAAGGGAGGGTCCAGAGCTCAGTGGGCAACGCCTCTGGGAGGAGAGTGACAACACCAGCAGACCACCCCACCTGGAGTTCACGATTTCAGACGTGGCTAGTGGGCTTCAGGTTTGGAAACCTCTGTGCTCAGAAGCCTTGGCCTGTAGAATCTGGAATGGGTCCCTAGGTAGGTCAAGGCAAGGTAGGAAGCTGTCCAAGACCCCAGAGGGATGACTCAGTGATGGCTGAGTGAAGATGCATGGTTGACCCAGGAGTTCCCCTCACCCTCCACCCTCAAGTCCAGGGTCAGCCTCTAGGGCCCCAGGAGACAGAGCTATAGGCTGTGGCTTGAATTCCAAGGCCTTTAATTTGTGGCCAGCATGCCTGCTCCTCACCCTAGATCCTCCTGTGTTTGCCGCGCCCCACCCCCATGCCAGCACCTCCCGGCTCCCTTCCTGGGCCTCACCAGGCCACACCCCCCCAGCTGCTCCTCTCCCTCCCTCCTCTGCTCCCATCACCTGGCCCCTCCCTCCTAGCCTCCTAGGTGGGAGCTGGTGGGGGTGAGGCCAGCGCCCCGGCCGCCCCCAGCATCAGCATGGCCAGGGCCTTGGGCCCCGCCGTGTGAATCTTCTCGTGCCGGTGCAAGTTGGAGCGGCGGCTGAAGCTCTTGCCGCACAGCGGGCAGGAGTAGGGCCGGACCCCGCGGTGGGTGCGCTGGTGGGCGGTCAGGTGCGAGCTGTGGCTGAAGCTCTTGCCACAGTCGAGGCAGTGGTAGGGCTTCTCGCCGGTGTGCGTGCGGTTGTGGGCGATGAGGTTGGAGCGCTGGCTGAAGCACTTGCCGCACTCGGGGCATGGGTAGGGCTTGACCCCAGTGTGGGTGCGCTGGTGGGTGACGAGGGCCGAGCTCTGCGTGAAGCACTTGCCGCAGATGGGGCACTTGTGTGGCTTGGCACCCGTGTGGGTGCCCTGATGGGTGACCAGGTCCGAGCGGCGGGTGAAGCGCTTGGCGCAGCGGTCGCACACGTAGGGCTTTTCGCCCGTGTGGATGCGCTGGTGCTGGATCAGCGTCGAGTGGTGGCTAAAGCTCTTCCAGCAGGAGGGGCAGGTGTAGGGCTTCTCGCCGGTGTGGATGATCTGGTGCTGGATGAGGTGCGAGCTGCGGCCGAAGCGCTTGCCGCAGTCCGTGCAGGCGTAGGGCTTCTCCCCCGTGTGTGTGCGCCGGTGTGTCACCAGGTGGGAGTGCCAGCTGAAGCCCTTGCCGCACTGCTCGCACGTGTAGGTCTTCTTGTCCGCGTCGCCGTCGACAGCCAGGCCCTCCTCGCTGCTCTCAGGGGCGGTGGTCTCCTGGTTTCTGGGTCGCTCTGGGAAGCCACCCTCCTGGGCCTTTGGGAGGCCATTGTCAGGCGGGGCTGGTTTGGGCTGTCCCTCCTCCAAGGGAGCGGGCTGCACACCGTCTTTGGCTGGCCCTGGGCTCTGCCTGCTGGCCACTGGCTGCCCGTACTGCAGGGCGTCCCCCTGGGCTCTCTCCACCCTGCCTCTGAAGGACTTCACATCCCTGAGGGCTGCCAGAGATGGGGCCAGCTCCTCCTTCCCCACCTCCATGGCTCCTGGATAAAGAGGGTTTCCAGCAAGAGAAAGGCTTTCACAAGGGACTCAGGGGAATTTGGGAGGTGGAGATAAGGGCCAGGACCTGTGGGGAACCCCGGAAGAGCCACCCTCTACAGGGGAGGGGAGGCTGTGGCCTTGCCCCAGGAAGGGCTGTGTCTGCACCCCATGGGAAACAGAGAGCACTCTGACAAAGAGCACTCTGACAAAGAGCACCATGGGAAACAGACAGCACTCTGACAAAGAGCACTCTGACAAAGAGCACCAAAGGGAGTGACAACCATGACCACACTGCCCCGGGGCCCGCCCACCTGTCACTGCTGCACACACCTCTCCTCTCCTCATCTCCCGTCTGTCGGCTGGAGCTTGAGGCCTCGCCCTTGCCCTGCACTTGAGAGGCCCAGAAAGGTCTGCTGAAGGGAAACCCTGCTTGGAAAGAGATGCTGCACTCAGTCAGGGCCCTTCTGGGCTGCAAGCAGGAGATTCCCCCATGCCCCCACCCCCGCCCCAGAGGTGATAGAGCACAAGGAGAAGGGGTGCAGAGGTGGCCACCCCCTCTCTAGGACGCACATTCCAGGGTAACTGCCACACGCGCTCTTCCTGGGCTGCATCTGGAATCTCTTGTTTCCCTGAACAAGCAAGAGAACTGAAGGGAGAGGGGCTGGGCCAGGTCAGCTGCTGGCCACCACCTTATGTCACACAGCCCCAAGGAGTGGGCCCAGCAATGACAGAAACAAAACACTGTCTTCCTCTCCTGTACCTGCACCTTTCCAAGACCACAGACAGAAAGGACTGGGGGAGGGACAGTGGGCAAAAAGAGGCCAAGTGGAAGGCCTGGGCTAAGACAGCTAGGGACACTGACTGCCTAGAAGTCAGAGACCAAAGGTCTGTTTGCCAAGTCCCCCACAGTGAAGGCCTAGAAATTCTGGCTAGGTCAGGAAGAGAGTAGAGGGGCCCTGGCCTCCATGCCCTGATCTAACCCCCATGGGAGGGAAGGAATGTTTGGACCAACTGGGCGGTCTAGGGCTTTCATGAGGCCCGCCATGGGGCTGCAAGTGGGTGCTAGTTCCCTCTGATCTCCCAGGACCTGCCTGGACCTGCTGGTCTGGGGCCCAGAGAGTGTTAACAATGGGTTGTGAGCAACCTGAGATAATTAAAGGCATAAGCAGGGCGGCTGCTGTGACCCTGGGGCCCACCAGGGACAGTGAGGGGTCTCGGCCCACTATCAAAGTCAAAGGGTAGACTGACCAAGCCCCTGGCTCTGCCTGGACTAGCAGGTAGGCAACAGAAGTGCATTGACCGACAGACTGACTAACTGAAAGAATGACAATGAATGAATGAACGCTCTGATTTTTCCATACACCCTCATAAAATTCTGCCATGGAAACTAGAGCCTGGAACTGCAAAGTCAAAGCCCTGGGACTAAACTACTTACCATGAGAGAAATAGAGGGAGCCAAGGCCCCTCTGAGAAGAGGACACAGCCCTGGGGCAGATGGGACATCTCAGAGTCAAAGGCCAGGAGAGATTAGCTGGCACCATTCCTGACTCCCTAGGCTAGCAGCCTGACTCCAGAGCCAAGCTTTCTGCTCAGACACTTCAGAAGCTGGGCTTGAAGGAGGCTGGGGTGAAACTCCAGGAATAAGCACTAGGGGAGAACTGAAGAGAATTAGGGTCCCTAGGTCCGCACTGTCCAACACAGTGGCCACTAGCCACATGAGGCTATTTTCAGCTCAAGTCTGAGCTGATTAAAATGAGATGAAACAAAAACTCAGTTGCTCTAGATACATTTCAAGGGCTCAGTAGCCACATCTGGCCGGTGGCTACCATATCCATGGACAGAACATGTCCATCACTGGGAAGGTTCTCTACAACAGCCAGGTCTGGATGAACAGCAAGAAGGGGTGTAAGCCCTGGAAAGGGAGGCAGAGGCGACAGCAGGATGGGTCCACCTCTGACTTCCCAGGACCTCAGGCAGCAGCACCCCAGCACAAGCGAGCCTTTACCAAAGGACAGCCCGTTCCTCTTCTGCAGGACATCCCTGTAGAAGCTCTGCTGTGTGTGGTCCAGCTGTCCCCACTCCTCACGGGAGAGGTACAGAGCCACGTCCTCAAAGGTCACAGGCATCTGAAACAACATGAAATGCCCACTCTCCAGGACATGGTGGAGGAGCCTGGTGGTGACAAGACATGGGCGAGACCCCAGACTCCCATCGTGCTGACTCGAGTGAGGCCTGTCCTCGGGTCTGATGGTGAAGCAGGGCAGCTGCCCAAGGAAGGCTCTTTTAGGGGCAAAAGCAAAGCGACTGTGTGCAGCAGGAGACAAGAGACAAAAACAAGAGTTCTTTTCGGGCAGCATGGTCAGAGCTCAGGACCTCTGGCCCCCTCCCTCAAGTTCAGAGCTCGGATCCAAAGGACAATTCAGTCAGAGACGCTGTCCCTCCCTGTCCTTTGGCATTTCCTCCAGCCTTGGATGGGGACACTCACCTGGGACCAGGCAGTGAGGAGTGCCGCAGCCATCTGCCGGTCTCTGGTCCTCCCCTCCTGGGAAAGTACAGGGATCTGGGGGGAGGGGAGGGCTGAGAGAGGAGACAGGTCCTTAGGTGGCCACCTTGTCCTGCCTGGCCCTTCTGCTCCCCCTGAGCGAGCTCATGCCTGGCTTACCAGGGACACCCACGGCTGTTTCCAACTCTACCCATGACCTGACCCAAAAAGAGGGTCAGGAGGCTTTGAGGGTGAGTGGGGGCATCCCCTGAGAGGCAGGTAGGGCAGACATCTGGGCCATCTCCAGGGCAGGAGAGCTCCTCCCCTCCCAGCCCCTCCCTGCCTCTGCTGCCTGGGCAAGCGCCTCTCCCCACATCCCCCTCCTCACCTCCACCAGGCAGGAAATGCACTTTCTCTTTAGAGCCCTGGCTTAGGGGCATCCAGCCCTGCACTCCTTGAGCTCTGGCCTCCTGTGACGCCCCATCAGGGTGTGACTCTTCTGGCTCCATCTTGATGTGGGGTGACTCCTGAGCGGCTCCCAAAGGCACTGTCTCCTCCGACTTGGAAAGCATTTCTTGACAAGAATGCCCATGACCTGAAATCTAGGAGCAACAACCCCATCAGCACTGGGATGGAGGATGGGAGATGCAGCCGAACTCCACGCTTGGGGGACCCACAGAGGCAGACACCCAGGGTGGCAGAACACCCACCAAATGCAAGGCTGGCCTTGCTTCCAACTCCATCCCCAGAGACCCACACATGCCTGGCTCACCCCCATGAGGCAGGACAGTGAGGGGAGGAAGGAAGGCTCATCAAGGCCCTGCCAGGTGCCCACAGGGCAGGTGTCTCTTCCTAATTCAATGCTCACACCTCCCATAGCAGTGTGGACAGTTAGTCTTTAATATATGAGGACACCTAATACAGTTGGTTGGGCTGAATTGTGTACCCTCAAAATGCAAGTCTCCTCAGAACCTCAAAATGTAGCCTTATTTGGAAAAAAAAGATCTTTGCAGGTGTAATTAATTATGGATCTTGAGATGAAGTCATCAAAATTGGATCCTAAAGCCAATGACTGATGTCCCTATAAGAGAAGAGGACACAAAAGCACAGAGGGAAAGCCACATGAAGATGGAGGCAGAGACTGGAGTGGTGCTGTCACAAGCCAAGGGACACCTGGAGTGGCCAGAAGCTGAGAGGCAGGAAGAAGTCTCCACTAGGACCTTGGGAGGGGCCCTGCCGACACCTCCAAAAGTGTGAAAGAATAAATTCTGGTTGTTATAAGCCACCCAGTTTGTGGTCCTTTGTTACAGCAGATACAGGAAACTCACACACCCAGGCTCCAAGATCAGACAGTGGTCAAGATCATGGAGCTTGGAGTGACTCGGCCAGGACTTGAATGCAAGTGCATCTGACTTACAAGTCACCCCAGGGCCATCATTTCCTGAAAGTGACAGGAAGGCATGTGGCCTTGGGCCATTTCAGGCCTGACTCAGTTGGTCATAGCAGTTGTGAATTTTTTCATGAGGGAAAAAAAGCCCAGCGTACCTCTAGCTGTGCCGAGGCTTCGTGCCCACTTCAGTCTGATGGAAAGAAAACTCTCAGGCTCACCCACCTCACACTGCCCCCACAATGGGAGTCCAGGGCCCTCCCTCCCCTCTTCACACCAGCCCCAGCCCTCTGGGAGGGTGAGGAGCAGGCTCTGGAGTCAGGCTACCAGGGCTCGAATCCAGAATCAGCCCTCACTAGCCTTTCAACTCTGAGCAGACATCACCTTCCCGCAGACCCCAAGAGCCTTGGGAAAGTCTCTCCTCCTTGCACACCTCTGTTGAGGCCTCATTCTCATCCATAGCACTGGGCACTGCTGGGACTTTCTGCTTTCTGCTGGGAACTCAAACCTAGCCCTCCACCTTCCCACTCACCTCAGTCTCCATTAAGGTCTGAAAGAGAAAGACCCTCAGGCCAGGAGTCAGAGAGCCTGGGAGCTGCACAGGCCAGGTGGCCTCTGAGACTCAGCTGCTCTGCCTCGTGCACAGATAATCTGTGAGAATGAGCTTCCTGCTCCCGAATATTCTGAACAGAGTGGCGTCAGTAATTATTATTATTACTCTGCTGTGTGAGCTGACAGAATCCAACATCAGCAGAGAATGCTGCAGATGTGTGAGGCCCACTGGGGGTTACAAAAGCATTATGGAAGGGAAACTGAATAGAGTTAAAAATTCTTTGTGCTTCTATGGTGTGAAAATAGAATACTTGATTTGTATTTGTATTTACAACCACCAGAAATACTAGTCGAGGGTATCCAGGTTCCTCTGACCTACGTTCTAGCTGCTGTGGGAGTTCTCGCTGTGTACATTACAATAATGATCTCCTACGGGCTGATGAACTGCTTACAGAAGACTTTCATACCCATAATTCCCAAGCCTCCCAAACACCTGGCGTGACAGGTGGGAACAGCAAGCACGTGATCCACACTTTATAGATGACACACCTGGTCCCTGAAGCCCAAGGAACTTGCTCAAGGTCACACACCCAGCTCCGGTCCTAAGCCTAGGGACCCTGGTTCCCCCGCAGGTTATATTACACACACGGGCAACAGGTACAGGGAAGACTATGTGCTTAGATCCAGAGAGGGAGGAGATGGGGTCCCAGGCGGAGGAGAGTGGAGAGTAGACAGAGGCCTGTGCATGTGCTGTAAGTGCTGTTCAGAGAGCAAAACTCTCTGGTTTGACACCCATGCAGCCTCCTTACTATCCCTGTAGCCTTTGGTCTGCGGACTACCGAATTCATCAGGCAAAGCAAAGCAATCCCATAGAAGTCAGTCCCCAGGTGGAAGGTATTTCCCATCAGAACCATCTTCTCTTCTACACCCCCCACCCCATCTACCGCCTCTACTCTCCCAGTGAGTCTAACTCTTCCATTGGTCTAAATGGCCTGCCTTGAAAATCCCCTCCCACTCCAGTTCCTTCCAGTGCATGCCCCCCTTACCCAGAACCCCAACCATACCTCTCGGGCTCTCTCCTTGTCCTGGGTAGCCCAGATGCCTCCTCCGCCTGTAGACATTTTCTATCCCAGAGCTAGAAAGCACAGCTGAGTTGTTTCTTGCTCTTGTTGCCCAAGCCCCCGCTAGCTTCTGGCCAGGAGTCTGGAAGAACAGGAGGAAATCAGCCAGCATCTCTTGGACATTTCAAGCTCCCCAAATTTCCATGCAGGACCAGACCCATTCCTGGTCCCAATCAGAAATAAAGCCTCCCAGATGCGCTCCAACGGCCTCATTCTCTATGCTGCTTTTTGGTCCCTCACTTTGACAGAATGCTATTTTGTATTATCCCCTTTATCGCTGAAGCAAGAACTCTGAATTTCAGAGCAACTGGGTTAGGGAAAGCCAGGGAGAGTTGGAAGCTGTATTTCCTGTCATCAGGAGCCGGAAGATCTGCAGTGATCCTACAAAACAGATGCTGGGTGGGGCCCCGCCCACCACAGTCAGCTCCGCAGAAGAATCCAGGCCCCGCTGTCTCCCGGGCCCAGGACACACACACACCCTGCGCTCGACCTGACTCGGTCCCGCCTGGGATCCAGAAATTGAGCTGCCCGCTCTCAGCAGCCCTCCCTGCGGTTGCAACCACCCGCCCGCGCCGGGTGTCCATCCTGCTCACGGTCCTGGACAGATGATGTCCTTCCTCTTCCCGAACCCGGGTCCAGGCCTCCTTCTCCCCGCCAGCCCGTAGCCTTCCACCTTTGACCCCGTCCCCTCCTGCCAGCTGGCCACCCGCGAGGGTGTCGGGATCCAGGTGCCCTCCCAGCCCCCCTCTCACCGAGGTGGAGGCGGAGGCGGAGGTGGAGGGGACACCTCGGGCAGCGGGGCCCCCTCCCCCGGGGAAGGGAGTCTCCGCAGCCTACACTGGGCGCGGGGAGCCGGGTGGAGACTGGGATTAGGGACAACAGGAAGTCCCTCCCAGATCCCGTTCCCCTCGCAGCTGCTGCCCTACAGGGTTCCCAGCTTGGAGGGTTCCGGGTCTGGGGTCCCAAGCCAGGCTGCACCTGTTCTTGGCCAGGAGGTAACTCTCAGATATGCACTGCCGGCTCAGGATCGCTTTACCCGATACGTACTCGTGACACACGCCAAGCAAGGGCGCCAAAATGGGAAAATGCACCTTGTGGAAGGATTTTGATATTGGACATTTCAAAGACAGCATTGCAGCTGTCCTCACAAAATGAAGGGCACTTTGCTGAGTGAAGGAACACGATGGTCTTTTTCAGCACACAGAGCTTCTGAAGGTTTTATAGGTGTCTCCGTGGAGATCTCCTTGGATTTGACTTAAGGCTCCCAGACTGGTCAGCAGGTCCCCCTGTTTCCCACCTCCCCCCCACCTTTCAAGACTGGCATGGAGTTCTCCCTCCTTAAGGGCAAACTTAGGAACCAGAGAGTCCTGGGAACTCCTTTCTATCCACCTCTACCCCTCATGCCTCACACCTTGGAAAGATATGGATGGGCTTATCTGATTTTTCCAGACACCCTCCCCTCAACTCCTTCTCAAGGCTAGGGATAGAGGTACAAAGGGGTCTGACCCAGCTACCCATTGGGTCTCAAACTCTCAGACTTCCATGGTGGCTTCATACTCCACCACGTAATCTCTGTCTTCCCCCTCAGACCCAGAGAACTAAGGCACCCCAAATGGAAGAATAGAGACTGTGTTTCACTTTCTGGGGCAGGGAACCCATTTCTCCTGGGCTGGGCAGGGCACAGGAGATGGATGTCAGGAAAGGGGTGAAGGCCAGCCCTGTAGTCAGATTCTGGAAAGATTCCTCCTGGAAACATTCCCATGTTCCCCACCTTTGGCCCATTAGAGTCCTCTGGGGTGCACCCACTTCACTCAGCAAGACAGGTACAACTGGCCCCTGTCTCACCCCATGGGTGTGCTGTGTGTGCTCACAAGGGTTTAATTTTTTTAAAACTTAGTTTTTAACACTTAAAAATTAGGAGAGTTCCTATAAAATCAATTTTCTTGAGAAACCAGAACATCTAGCAACCCCAGACCCATATTTCTCACATTCAGGGCCTGCTCTCAGATTGCCACTTGGACCTTACATCATTTTGAGTTTGCAATTCAGCTTTTGGAGGCCAATTTGTTTTAGGAGTCATAGGATTCTGATTGATTCTGTTATTGCTTTGATGAAAGAAAAACTGCCCCTGGGGTTTGTCTCTGGTCAATATTTCCAGGTCTTTTAAACTTTAAGGTAAAGAGAGATGAACAAAGTTGTGTCAAGTCAATACTGTTTTCCAC